GGTGCAGCAGGCGCAATGATATTACGCAGCGCCTGAAAATATTCCCCAGCACGCACCCTTTGCTAGCAGGTGGTCACGTTGGTTGTGTTGACGTTAGTTAGCCTATTTTCAGGCGCTGAGTAATATCATTGAGAGTATAGTTGGAATGAGAGTATAGTTCCTAGCCATATCGGCCTAGAAAATTGCAACTTTTCATTTTCCGTCGGTCTTAGTACACGATGTAACTACAGAAGAGTCAAGTTTTAAATAGGAAAAATATAGAAACTCTTTGGTCATTTTTGAGCGAGATGCTAACGGTCTAATCAGATTCAATTATCTATGCTAAGCTACAGCTAAAAGTGCTACCGCCAGACCCGGAGATCGGCTGAATGGATTCGAAAACGGTCAAACTCAACTGTTTAACTCTAGGGGAGTTGAAAAATGAGCCTATTTTCAAAAATAGTGGAGTGTTCCTTTAAGGTGAGTCTTTGTTTTATGTTGAAGAGCTCCTATCAAACACCTCCACCCGCATTCACCCGTCAGGAGAGGATGGTTCATAAGAGCCTCGTTTATCTGTGGGTGTTGACGAGGTAAGACATCTTACTTTACACTCAGCATGTGTTTCTCCTGTGCTTGCGGCCTGACGTTTCTGACGTGTTTTCAGTTCAGTGGCTGTAGCGTTAGGAGGCCTGACACTGTGGCACGCGATACTGATCACCAGAGGAGAGACCAGCGTGGAGAGACACATCAACCACAAAGAGAGAAGACGACTGCGACTGAAGGGCAAGGTAAGAGAAGTATGTGCTCATAAGATTATTGGAACAGAACCACCAATTTGGAAGAAATAAGACCAAGGTATACACTTTGAAGTCACTAAATGCAGTTGGAAAAAATATTATTTAATGAATAATTATAAAAAAATGAGTAGTAGTAGTAGTATTAATAATAATAATAATTTGATTTATTTGTTCAAATTTGATTATTTATTACATTTTTTAATTGTTGGTTTTCAGGGAGGAAGTTATAAAACTAGCAGCACAAAATGCAATATGTGCAGAGTCTGAAGTAGTACTTGATGTTGATGTTGTTGTTCTTAATAATAATCATAATAGTAATTTTATTTTATTTTTTTTCTTTGTTTTGGAGATGAAGTTATAATCAAGTTAGCAGCACAATTGCAAAATTAATTTCTAAATCTCATAATAAAATGATAAGATCTTTTATTTTGCTTCCATGTTCTTTTTGTTTTCAGAGATGAAAAAATACTGTTTCTAAATGTAAAAATAATAATAATAATAATGTTGATTATATATAGTTTTTTATTTTTTGTTTTTCAGAGATGAAGTTAGACAAAACAAGTTGTATTCTCAAAACTCACAAAACTGTTGTGAAAACGACTGTCTGTTCGCAGGTTTTCCGTAATCCATACCACCACGGAAAAATTAACAACTGGAAAATATTTTTTGGTGTTGAGAAGCAGAGGTGAGATGTTTTTATTATTGTCCCACGTTTATTATTCCCCAATTTAGATGTAGGTGAAAGTTGAATGTACAACTATTTCTCATTAAATATTTAATAATATCTGCTTTTTTTTTTTGCTTTTTCAATTGTCTGTAATTCTAAATGTTTTTCTTATTCACCAGTGACTGGCTGACGCGAGTTCTGCTGCCCTCCAGTCATCTTCCTCACGGGGACGGCCTGACGTGGGACGGTCCCGCACACAAGAACAACACCATGGCCATATGACCTCACAGTCATGGACCTGATGGATCAGATCCGTTCATAAACTCATATCATGAACTCTGATGATTGAAGGGGTCTCTGCATCACTCCTGTCCTTTACAAATTAACAATCTCTTATTAGAGGTTTTTAATGGTGGTCTACTGAAATGTGTGTTTATGGTACAGCGCAAGATCCTTTTCTCAACACGTGCGAATTCAGAGTAGGACTTGGTGCCAAAGGCTTTATGTGAATGGATTGTGGTGACATCTGTGGAATATTTATATTTTTTAACTCAGACATTAATGGGAATCTGTGTTCTTTATAAAACTTTGAATGTCCAGATATTTACAAAGTGGTCCATGCATTTTGTTAAAATGAAGTTAGTTGACCTTCTTTTGCAAATGTTTTCTAATGAGCAAGTTTTACACATGAAATACGTCTGCAGTTTTACCGTGTTTACTGTGGGCTCCAGAAGTCTGAGAGCACTGGGGAAAAAAAAAGTACATAATAAATATTTTATATTATTTTACATTATCTAATTTTCACATTATAGATTAAAAGCATAAACATTAACATGGATTTTAGGATGCCTGATATTTGATAAGTTCCCTGTTTGCTTTAACTTGCTTATAACTTAAGTTATTACTTATCATAAAAAAAAAATTTTCATTGTTGTCCTAGAATTATTACAGACTCATAATATTTATTGACTCAAAGAATTTATAGACTCAAAGTATATTTATTTCATGTCATAGATTAAATTTTTTTTCTAAATCCTAAAACTACAAGGTTTTGTTGATTAAAATAAAAAAAAAATCATATTAGGTAATATTACAGTAATGTCTCATTTGTTAATATTAATGTATTAGCTAACACTGACATTGAGCAATGTTTTTTAATGCTTTTAATAATCCTTGTTACTGTTGGTTAATGAAAATGCAATTGTTCACTGAACGTGCATTAATGTTAATAGATACAACTTTTCATTAAAAAAAAATGTATTAGTAAATGTTGAAATTATAAATACTGTATAAGTATTTTGTTGTCTGTTCATTTTAAGTAATGCAGTAAACAAATGAAGCCTAAAGTGACCATATTTTCAGCATGTTCTCAGACTTCTGGATTCCCCATAAATGTAAGCAAGATGAAAATATTGTTTTGCTGTTTCAGTGATTTGAGTAATTAGATCATTTTGTGGTTTAACTACCTGAAATATGTTTGTAACTTAAAAAGGTTCATATTAAGGCCAGTCCAGCACATTCTGTACTAGTGTGATATAAAATAGCAATAAAACAACTGGGAAATTGAGACACAAAGGTCACCATTTGTATCTTTACTTTTTAAACATAAATTCTGTTTGACCTAAATCTTTTGTTCGACTTTTCTTTGTGCTTTGAATTAGCCCATTATTATATATTAATTTGTATTGTACTTCAGCATGGCATTACTGTAGCAAATTCCTGTCTTTTTCAGTTTTGTTTTGCTGCTAAAATTCGCATTCCAGGGGATAAATATAGTGTTATTGGAGTCGCTTCAACGCGGGAAAGCCACGGACTTGGCAACACTGCTTCAGTTCACAAAACACTTCGGTTTGAATCCGCCCGTTTCCTACGTCACAGACATTTAACCAATCCCATCAACCTGCGGGGGCGGGGCTTTTCATAACTGGTGAAAGGGTTCTATTTAGAACGTTTTTGCCGCGTTGAGGGATGTAGCCAATCACAGACATATCTGTTGCTTTCTTGAATGCGCTGGCCAATCAGATGTGTCTAAGATTAGAATACACTTACCGCTCAAAAAACTAGTTTTTGTTTCAGTGCTGAATTCTGCACTCTCGCGAATCCTCTCATTACAACAAAGTGTTGACATGATGTAAATAAGAGGTTCATTGTGCAGTGTAGAGCTTCTCTGGTTATAACGGAAAACTTTGTGAACGTTTTATATTGCGTTTACTACTTAAACGGCGTGAAAGTGGAGCAGGTCCGACTGAGAGGCGGGGCTAATTAGCATATTCATGATTCACATACTAAATGAGGTAAGGGTGCACAGTTACATTCAAGCCATTTTAAGACATTAAGAAATTACCATTTGAAAAAAAAAAACGTTTATGTGTGTCCTTTCGATTATCAAAGATGCATTTTAAGGGATTAAATCCATGACTTTAAGTTGTTTTGAAAAAAGTATGTAAACAAGTACAAATCGGTCAGCAGATGCATGGAGTGTTGGTGGTTTGAGAAAAGAATTTATGCAATTTTAAAGACTTAGTCATTGAATGAATTTTGTACCAAAGCAATGATAAATGATTCAGTTGTGCTCACTGTGTGGAGTTTTCAAAAAGTGACCTAAGCATTGAAAAGACCAACAAAGTAGTTTCGCTTTCACAACGAAACACACAGCGCCTTCACAACATTGCCGCCGCCGGCAACAACAATACTACAGCGAGAATAAAAGTGCCTTCTTTCTTTGTGTGAACATTTGGGCGGCGTTATGCAAATCTTCCCACATAGTGAGGTAGACATGTGGGGGCGTGTTAGAACGAGCCGTTTTAGGTAGGCGTGGTTGACTCTTAACTTTTATAAAGAATATCTCTTTGGATTTGAGACTTTAGTCTTTGCAACTTTACAGATCTTCTTTATGCACCAAGAGCTTGTAACACTCCAAAGAGAAAGGAAAAATTTACATTTTAAATTCAATCATATGACCCCTTTAATTCTAGTGATTGCCATAGTCAAAGTTGTCACAATCTACACATTTTCAAAAAGTTTTATTGACAGGTTATGACACTTATATATTGTTTTATATTCTTCGCATCAGTTTTGTCAGTTTGACCTTTAAGTTAGTCTTGTGAAAATGAACAACAACCAACCCTGTGGCTAATGAAACATAGTTTAAAAATACTGACATTAGGACAGTCATATCAACAGCAGATTCGAGAGAGATCGGTATCCTGCATCAAACTAACATTCCTATAATAGTGACACGGCATGATTGAACAAATGATAACATCACGCATGCTGCTGGCACACGATGCACTGTGGCTCATGTGTCTGATTTACTCTTGATTCAGCATCCGCTGCAGAAGCTCAGTGCATCACTGGGTTTCATGTTCAAGCAGTATGTGTGGTTGTTTGTTTAGCCACATCTGTGCCCAGACTCATGCCATATCATAAAAAAGAGGGTAAGGGAGTAAAATCAAATGCTGTGAGCGGTTAGCCGTCTCTGTTCTGGGTCATCAGCAGCACTGATCTGTTCATTTTCCACCGGGACTTCCTAACAAAAACCTACGGATGAGAAACACCACATTAGATGCTGTCAGTGGAAACCTCAAAGGTTTAGATATGTCAGACTCACCATTCTCCTCGAGCCACCATGGCCTTTATCCTCACCAGCCTCTTTTTGTCATCCAGAGGAACAGCAAGAGCTTTCAGGACTCTGGCACGGAACGGCAGGACCTGAAACAGACACCAAAACTATTAATAGCACAGTCAACATGATTTATTATTAGATGTCTGGTCTTATTATGCATAAATCATTTGTGGTTGTTATTCAAAAGGATACATTTAAAAGGCTACATTTGGCATTCTCTGCTTAAATGCAATAAAACAAAACAACATATTTACAACATTTTCAGAAGCAGCGTTCCGAAGTTTGGGGTCAATTAACCTGCCTGACTGCAAAAACAATACAAACGCAAGCCCACCATCCAACTATCTACCAGAAGTGTTTTTAGAAATAGAAAGAAATGTATTCTTTTATTCCGCGAGGATGCAATAAGTTGATCAAAAATAGTTAAGACATAATGTTACTAAAGATTTCTACTTCAAATAAATGCTGCTCTTTTGAACTTTCCATTCATCAAAGAATCCTGAAAAAAATGCATCATGGTTTCCACACAAACATGAAGCAAAAAAGTGTTTCTTGAGCAGCAAATCAGCATATTAGAATGATTTCTGAAGATCATGTGACACTGAAGACTGGAGTAATGATGCTGAAAATTCAGCTTTGATCACAGCCATAAATTACATTTAAATTACAATTACAAATAAATGTATTTATATATACACATACACAAACATGCATACTATAGATAGATAGATAGAAACGTCATTTTAATTGTAATAATATTTTACAATATTACTGTTTTTTACTGTTGGTGAGCAGAAGAGATGTCTTTTTTTTTTTTTTTTATCTTACCAACCCCCAAACTCTTGAATAAATTTAACACAATTTTACTACAAGTAAATTTACATGATTTACTTATTTTATTTACTTGTTAATAATTTTTAATAATAATAAAAAAATTATAATCTTAAGATATTTAATAAAAATATTTTATCATGTGATCAAATAACAGTGACATTATATATATTTGTATATATAAAATTCAACAATTCCCATGATGTTTTAAATTTTTCACATTACATTTAAATGATTACAAATTAATTAAATTAAAAATGTATTTAAATTTTTTTTTTATCTTACCAACCCCCAAACTCTTGAATAAATGTAACACAATTTTACTACAAGTAAATTTACATGATTTACTTATTTTATTTACTTGTTAATAATTTTTAATAATAATAAAAAAATTATAATCTTAAGATATTTAATAAAAATATTTTATCATGTGATCAAATAACAGTGACATTATATATATTTGTATATATAAAATTCAACAATTCCCATGATGTTTTAAATTTTTCACATTACATTTAAATGATTACAAATTAATTAAATTAAAAATGTATTTAAATTTTTTTTTTTTTATTTAAAACTTATTGATTCATATTTTTTAAATCAAGTAATAATGACTGCACTATTTAGGGCTAACTGTTGCTGTTCATAAGTTCTCATGATTTTCTTACCATATGTTCAGGCAGGCGAGAGAGCGCATGAACACACTGGAGCGACGCAATTCTCACTTTCTGTCGGAGTGAAGATAAAGTCAAAATCAGACAAGTGTTGTCAGACTGACTAAAATCAAATGCACTGTTGAATTCAGTACCATAACAGGGCTGGTGGTGAGGGCCAGCAGGCGGGAGAACAGCGCCTCCAGCTGGTTCCTGATGGCCGCTGGTGGCTCCAGCAACACTGGCTGCAGGCAGGACAGAGTGGAGAGCTGGACCGCCTGATCCGCACACGATAGCGCTTCCAACAGCAGCGGCAGCAACTGGCCGGGAACAGCACACAACACTCATTTAACACAACGCCTTTCAAAAAACACATCTGAAATCATTTACTTGCACAAATTCAACTCACCGCAGGAAGCTCTGTGAGCTGGATCTGTCTGGGAAGGTTACTGACAATGTGCGACAGTGCCTTCAAATAACAAGACTTCTCCTCTGTGGAACAAAAACAACAGTTTAGATAGGAAGCAGAGCGGTTCAGTCACACCGCGGGTTTAGACAGGAAGTGGTAATCAAGGTACCCTGCTCTGCTGAGTTGAAGCCTTGAATGAGTTTGGTCGAGTTTTCAGCGAAAAAGCGCTGTCGGTACATAATGCGCACGTCGGCGTGGCAATTGCGATTGAGCACATCCAGAGAGTCGCTCATGAGGACACAGAAACCATCAGCCACCTGAGATCCTAACGCCGGGTCACTCAACAAAGCGAAGAGCTGAAGGACAGAAGTGAGCATTCAAACACTGAACCTCTGAGACATGACTGGAAAGAGAGGAAGAAGAAACAAAGAGACTACCTTGTCGGTCAGGGCTGTTGAGAGCGGATGGTACCGTAAGAGCAGGGCTTTAGACACCTGTACAAAAGTATGTGTGTTGATCAATGTTTGTGAGTGAATAAAAGCCTACATTGAATCTGTTGAGAATACAAAGACTTGGATTAAACAGCTTGATTGATATGGATAACTATTATGAACTTTTTGAAGCATCACAGTTTTGGTTGCATGGACAAAAATAATTAGAGATTATCAAATTTAACTCCATTTGTGTTTCAAAGACAAACAGCAGTTTATGGGTTTGGAACGACACGAAAGTGAGAAAATGACAATTTTCATTTTTGGGCGAATTATAAACGTTAAAAGGAAAAAACAACAACAAATTTTACTACAACATTTCCCATTTTTGATTAAGTCAAAATACTACAACAATTAAACTAAAACGAATAAATAAAAAATAATATATACTAATATAAAATATTAAAAATAGACTTTAAAAAAATAAAAATGACAAACAAAAACAAAATGAATAAAGCTTTAAATAAAACAAAATTGAAACCAAAATCTAAAAATAAAACCTATTTCAAAATATTAACAATATCTATAAAACTATATCAATGATAATAAAATAATGCCAACTACACATTTAAAATACTCAAAACATGTTTTATTCAATATATACATGTGTATTACATTGGTTTATGTACTAATAAATTGCTGACACGGTAATAATGTCTTTAAAGAAAGACAATAAACAGATTAAAAACACTGTTATTAAATCTAAACTTCATTCTTCGACGTTATATTTTTATGTTTTTATATTATGCTTATGCTCATATACGGTCTAGTAATGGACTCTGTTCAGTACTTTGGTCAGCATCGCTGTTTAAATGTGCTATATAAATAAATCTGACATATTTTAAAAGATAATTAAGTCTTCTGTTGTACCATTTACAATATTTGAAACTTTTACTAGCTTAAATTTGAGACTTTTTAAGGAGCCCTGTGTGAACGCTGGGTACTGATGTGGAAATCAATACAATGTAAGACACTCTTGATCAAGTGATTTTGTGATTACCCAGAGCAGCAGAGTGAACGCTTGTGTCCGCTGAGCAGAGGAAACGTTCTCCAGCTCCACACTGATCCTCTTCATCACTCTCTCCAGCACCGCGTCTAGAGCTTCACCTGAACACGCACAATATACGTGATATGCAGATCAGGTAAATCAACTCCAGAGCTCAAATAACGCATTCATTATTCCAGCGATGTGCATCGAGAGAAAACAGTCTTCCATTAGATCATGTAGCACAAAATTTAGGGCATGTGATTTGGGAAGAAGATCCTGTGAGTACCTGCCGGCCTCTTGTTGACCAAGCCAGCGAAGCATTTGGCTGCAGAGGTGTAGGAGAACAGGTGTGGACAGGTACAGCTCAGATCCTCCAACTGCACCAGAAGCCTGTCAATCTCAGGAATCTCCACCTGTCGTGAAGTGAATGAATGGCATGAACTGTCCCATAAATGCTGTTTCTTCCTCTCAAACAAATGATGTTTCTTCCTCAGCAAATGCACATATGCGGTCTTAAGCGCAAGACTCAGTTTCTATGGAAACCAGAACGTCACAAACTTATATACCGGCTGTTGCTTTAAGAGATTTCTGCATTTTTTCATCCATTGTTAAATGTTTGAAAATGTAAAAATTAACACAGCCATAAATACTAGTACTGTAATTTTACAGATGCACTATAATATAAAATTATGTTGATGAATATTTTATTTTTCTTAAATACTAAACTTTTTATTTTTTTTATACAGAAATATAATATTCCAATAAAAATATCATCATATAAATAGTAAAAATATTATTATTTTATTATTTATATATTTTATAGTAATATTTCATTGCAAAACAAAATGAGTATTGAAGAAACATAATAATACAGTCATATTTAGAAACTAAGATAACTTAGTATTGTAATTTTACAAATAAAATGGTTGGTTATTTTTTTCTTAAAATACTAGACTTTTTATTTTACAGTAATATAATATTACAATAGAAACATCATCATATAAATAGTAAAAATATTATTATTATTTTGTAATTTATATATTTTATAGTAATATTTCATTGCAAAACAAAATAAGTATTAAATAAACAGAATAATAATAATATAGTCATATTTAGGAACTAAGATAACTTAGTATTGTAATTTTACAAATAAAATGGTTGGTTATTATAGACTTTTTATTTTACAGTGACATTTTCCAGCAGAAATAATAATAAATAATAATTAGTATTTTTATTTATATGAATGTTTTATTGTAATTTAACTGTAAAACAAAATCTATTATTAAAGAAAAATACAATAATAATAATTGTTATCATTAATTATTATAGTCATATTCAGAAACGAAGACAGCTATAAATATTAGTATTGTAATTTTACAGTTGTCCTGTAAAATTATGCTGATTATTATTATGTTTTCTGAAATATTAGTTATTTTACAGTGAAATACTACAATAAAAAAAAAAATCTAATAAATATGATTTTTTTTATATATATTTATATTGTTTTTATATTATGCTTTATACCTATATTGTTTTTATTGTAAAATGTCACTGTAAAACAAAATAATGGAAGGACTAGTAGTAGTAGAACAAAAATCTAATTTACAATTTAAAACGCAATTGCAATTTTTATGAAAAAAAAAAAAAAAATCCCCAAATCTTACAGTATAGGATTCTGATGAAAAGCCCTGTACTGAATAAATATTCTGATGAAACATGAGTTTAACTCACGCTGCGTGGAAGAGAGCAGACGCAGGCCATCAGCAGACACACCAACTGAGACAGACCCCGAGACTCCGCCTGGCTCTGGAGAAAACAAGGACAAATAATAAAGCAGCAGCCCACAAACAAACCCTCATCTCCAGACGACACTACAGATGCTGCTGCCAGAACATGGGAGAACTTTATGACGATACTCAAGATACTGATGATTAGGGCTGTGACGATAAATCGATGCAGAATCGATTCATGGATGGATTCTGAGATCTTCCGAATGCATCGTGATTCTCTCTGGAATCGATTCTGAGCTTATATTTTAACAGCAGATGGCGCTCTACTCTAGCTTTTATCCGCACACTCAAATGCTCATGAAGAAGAGCGCTTGTGTGTTCGGCTGAGTCTGTAATTTCACCTTGGCTCAGAATGCTTTTATGACGCGTAAATGTAAACACAGCCCACTGTGAACACCCTTGTAATTCGTTTCAACCTTTTCGAATTTTATGAATGATTATTTTAGGTTCAAATGTGTGTAAGGATTTGGAAACAAGCAGAGTACGGCTGTTTCTAAAGCATGCAGCGCCATCTGCTGTTCAAAACTAAGCTCAGAATCGACTCGAGAAAGACTCGCGATGCATTGGGAAAATCTCAGAATCGATGCGGAATCATTTCTCGATTCGCGATGCATCGATTTATTTTCCCAGCCCTACTGATGATCTGAGAGACGCTGGTATGGGCCAGACCACCATTCACTTGAGATGTGATATCCTGAAGTAATAGTTCACCCAAAAATACGTTTCTTTTAAGTTAAAAACACCTTAACGATGGATTTGTTTCTTACAAACATGCAGCTTTTGGCTTCACTAGACATTAAAAAGTGAGTAAATTGTCAGCAAATGTTCATTTTTGGATGAACTATTCCGTCAAATCCTTCCAGAAGAGTCTCTGATATTGAAGCTCTGTTAATCTGGATTGTCAGATGTAAAGCTGACGGTTGAGAGAGATGATCTTGTCACACCTGGAGCAACTGGATTTGGGAAGGGAAGGCATTCTCTGGCAGAAAAGACACGTCTCCATCCAGGAACAGAGAAACAGCCTGGGAGGCCATGCGGGACGCTGATCTATAAGAAAACAATAAGGCTTACATTTGAAAGTTTGTATATTTTTTATTAGGGCTGAGTTGATCGATTTTATTCGATCTTCATGTTGACTAACAAATATAGGTTCTTAAATCCAGAGAATCGATCTTTTAGTCAATGTTGTTTTCAGCTGATGTGTGAATAAAATTTCACTAAACATTTGTAGCAAGATTCCCATGTTACGTAAGCTATCAAATTTTATAATCAAATTCAAACAGTGAATGCAGTTTTGGTGCTATTTAATGTGAACTGACAGATCAGTTTAAGTGCCATATGAACCGATCATTTCTTCCTCTTTACTACTAGTTACAGCATTAACAAGTTTTTATGACAGCCACCTTTTAAATGTTTATATTTCGAATCTAATTACTAGAGGTCGACCGACTGATCAGTTTTGGCGATTAATCGGCACGGATAGTCGATTGCGATAGTTTTTCCAGATTTCGTCCGATGCTGGAGCCGAGAAGCTCCGCTGTCATTATACAGTACAGTACGAGAGCAAGAGCGGCCTCTAGAGGCGAATCACTGACAGCACGTGCTGTTTGAAAGTAAAGTGTGATAATACTATTATATTTTAAAATAAAAAGTGAGTATTAAATAAAAATACAATTATTTTATAGTACACCTAAAAATACAATGCTTATTTAATTTTTTTTTCCTTTTTACTGTTTGATTTCTTTATATGAATTTTCATCATTTTCAAACCTGAAATCAGCAAGCTTTTATTTTGGCGGGTTGCCGGCAAGAAAGCACAAGCGCTGCCGAGTGTTTTGCAGTGAAACCGGCAGCACATAGCCTAGATTTATGCTTTCAGTTTGAATGGAAATCTTATACAGTATTACAGTTGCAGATGCATTAACAGCTGTCAACCATGTCGGTACGCAAATGAGCGGTCTGAACTTATTTACCCAGCGTATCTTTATTTTGGTCGCGCATGAGCACCTGCACACCACTCTAAGTGCAGCCCTGCTTATTATAGCTTACAGCATTGAGAAATTGATACACCTGATATATATTCAAATGAATCAATTTCAAATTGAATCAATTCAAGAGACTGTGAATTGGAATCGCAACGATACATGAAATGTGTGTCAATACCTAGGCATAATTTTATTATACATTTGAAAGTCAAATTAATCAAACAATTTAATTTAATTGTGTGTTGTTTCCTCTGGACTCACTCTGATTGTAGCGCAGCACAGGCTGTGCTGATGACAGGAACTACAGCAGACAGAACGATCTCATCTGTGAGTGGACTACGGTGACCTGTTGCACACACGGACAGTTACATCCACAAACAGCACAAACACACACTTCCATACAGCAGAAGATCATGCCTAACACTGACCAGCGTCCCTACTCTGCAGCGCTGCCTGTAAGCAGAGTCCTAGAAGGTGCGGAATGATGATGTCACGGAAGAACCGTCCAATCCCCTCAGAGTCACGCGCATGCTCTGCTATCTTCTGCAAACTGATGCATACAGCGACCACTTCCTCCACAGAGAAACCACAGCTGCCTGAAAGACCAACAGCATTTCAGCATTACATCAGTATGTTAGGACATTCATATCAGAACCAAATAATTAAGGTACAACACAATGTGCTTTGGTTAACATGAACTAAGCATGAACAATACTTCTACAGCATTTATTAATCTTAGTTAATGTTAATTCCAGCATTTACTAATGCATTATTAAAATCAAAAGTTGTGCTTGTTAATATTAGTTAATGCACCGTGAATTAACATGAACCAACAGTGAACGACTGTATTTTCATTAACTAACATTAACAAAGATTAATAAATACTGTAATACATGTATTGTTCATGTTAGTTAATCAATAACTAACATTAACTAATGGAACCTTATTGTAAAGTGTTATCAAGGTCTCTAACATGTATGTATTAACAAGCATGTCAATGAAAACTACAATCCAAATCATGATATGGCTTAGTGCTAGGGCTGGGCTACATAATAAGAGTTCAGTTAAACAATTATTTTGCTCAAAAATTATATTCAACATTACTGTCATTTTAGAATATTGGACTTTCACATAAGCACAAATCAAAAGAACATCAACATCAATGGTTTATTTTCACCTCATCCAGGTTCCTGTATTGTATTTATGCATTATATTTATAATATAAATTTATATTATTTATAATAAACAAAAAGCTTCTCTCAAAAGCTGAACCAGTGAAATTCCTAATATCAACACCAACATTTCACAATAATTTTAACCTTTTTTCCTATTAAATCAACATAATGAATTTATATTGTGGCACAGAGTAAGTGTACTTTCTTTGAAAACACTCAAATCTGAATGTTTATTTTACTGAAATCCTACTGATATGTCACTTGCATAATAATTGGGAACATAGTGTAGTCAAGTTTCATATTGTCAAGATTAATTACAGTTCATCACTGAGGTTTCGCAGATTCAGTCACAGCAAACAGCGCAAACGACCACAGGAAAGAAAATAAGACTGGCTATGTGAGCAAAATATCACAGTGGAGATCACTAAACCAAAACATACATGTTTGTTGGTGTTTTCAGCTCATCAGCGCCTTTTTCACAATCCAGAGAGAGTGTGCATACATTAGAGTTTGACCGATTGATCAGTTTTGCCAATTAATCGGCACCGATAACCAATTGCTGGAACAAACATTGTCTGCAAAAATCCATACCGATATTGTAGATATTTAAAGATGGCCAACTTTAAGCATTTCTATAAAATGGCAACAGTTTGCAATAAGAGTCCGTTTGTAACATTAAGGTTAACAATTGCTGTTGAAGCATTGCTCCTTGTTAGAGTGTTAATTTCAGCATTTACTAAAACAGTTAAAATGTAAATCTGTATCTGTTAATGCACTATGAACTAACATGAACGATCAAGGTATAATTAATACATTTAATTAATTTAAAAAGTACAGTATATTTTCATAGTTAAGCACTGTTGTTTTATGTTTGTAATAAAGTTCAGCACTATTTCAGCTTTCATTCAAAAACTATCAGTTGATTTATCGGTTATCGGCCAGTGTGGTCCAACCTAGTGTTTGTCAAAACCCACTATCTATCAACCACTTAGTGTGCGTGGTTGCCAGGTTGGGATGAAAACAGTGTAATAAAATGTGTCCATTTAAAGAGAAAAACCCTAAATGTGGGATTTAAACTCTTGACATCTGTCAACTGAAAGCATGAAGGTTTGTGGAGGCTTATGCAAGGTAATGCAATTGTCACTTGTCAGGATGAATAACCAGCTAATAATCACTAGAAGCTGGAAAAGATTATCAGAAAAGAAATCTTGCTGTAAAATGAATGTGTACCTGTGTGGGCTGAAGCTAGCACCTGTAGCAGAATGGGGGCGCTTTCCTGCACCACACTGGGCAGAGACGACACAGACGCTAACGCAGTCACACACCGCTGACGTACAGCTGCATCAGACTGACCTGTGGAGAAAAGCAGTCCCTAATTAAATATTAACCTGGCATAGATGCTGTTCGTGTTGGTGTGTGCTTTCTACTCCGGGTCCCACCTGACAGGATCTCTTCTTTCAGTCGAGGAATCAGCCTGGAAATAAAGGCTTTGGGATGCAGATGAGCCAGAGAGCCTGAACACTCCACCACAGCCAAACTGAGAGACACAAACATCAGTACGGGAAAAGCTTTAAAGGAATAATTCACATCAAAATGCAAACACATCTACCTGACTTTAGTATCGTCTTCCTCCAGAATGAGTCTGGTCAAATGATCAACCGCTTTCTCCACATCAGTCTGAGCCAGCAAACCTGTGAGGAGCAAAACAAGAGTATCCCATGAGCCTGTTATTCTTTGACCGACCACATTTACATTTCAATGCCTATTTAGTGTTCAAGAACTTACTTTAATATGTATATACTATGATATTAAAATATATTATATATACATATATATATGATATATAATATTTATTCTAATATTTATATTTTATTTCAATGAACAAAACGTTTTAATGGTTAACAATAATAACTCTGTGTAACATTCATTAAAAAAAATCTGCTCTGTAAACTGTTGAAGTCAATTTAAGGCTAAATTTGCAAACTCTTTTAAACAATGGGAGAGTGCCAACAACAAATTACCAATCCATGAGCAATGTTACTTGCAAAAGAAACGGTTATCCAATCATATTCACAAATAATTGATCAACACACATTTTAAAAATGCAGGTCAGAGAGATATAAAAGTATGTTAAAATTGTGTTTTGGTGCAAGAAAGAAACACATGGGTTTAAAAAATTAATTAAAAACATGCTCACCAACGCTGCATGTATTTGATTTAGTGTTGAAGTGTTTTCTATGTGAATATACTGTAAATATACAAAGCTGTATTTTCAGCATCATTACTCCAGTATTCAGTGTCACATGATCCTTCAGATATCATTCTAATATGCTGATTTGCTGCTCAAGAAACATTTCTGATTATTATCAATGTTTTTCAAGAAAACTTACATAGAAAGTTCAAAAGAACAGCATTTATTTGAAATCTTTTGTAATGTTATAAATGTCTTTAACACCACTTTAGATCAATTTAATGCATTTTCGCTGAACAACAGTATTAATTTCTTACAAAAATGTTGTGTATGCACTCACCGGGCTGCTGTCCCAGAGCAGTGAGCACTCCTGTGGCTGTAACCTGGAGACCAGCGCTAGACTCCGTCAGCGCAGAGAAAACCACGCTACACAAAGACTGCTGAAACGCAACCAAAACACTGTCCTCTGTGTGTTTATGTAGGAGACAGAGAGAGAAATACATCAACACTACATATTAAACAAATATTTGAAATGTGTTATATTACTTAAACTTGCTGAGACTCTTTCCAGCAAGTGGTAACAAACATGCACTTGAAATGGTAATCGTATGCATGGGATCTGACTGTTTTATCTTCTCACGCACCTCCATCTGCAGGCCGGCTGAGTGCGGTGGGCTGCACGAAACCCTGCAGAACCTCCAGCAGGGTGCGCCGCTGAGCACACTGTAGAAAGATACAGTCAAACGCATGCATTACAGCACATTATGCCTGTGTAAGTCCTCATGGGTCTTCAAAAAGTCTAAACAATTAATTTTTTATAAAATGTAATGTCATAAATAGTCTTAAATATCTTAAATGGCTGACGATAGCCATTGACTTCCACAGTATGACAAAAATGCTCTGGAAGTTGAAGACTACCGCCAACCGTTTGATTATCCATTCTCTTCAAAAATTCCTCTTTTGTGTTCAACCGAAGAATGAAACTTAGAGTATAGAATAACTTGAGGGTGAGTAAATTATGACAAAATTTTCATTTTTGGGTGGACTATCCCTTTAATGAATTATGTTGGTCTTTATGTGAAAAGTGTTTTTGTTTTGTTTCTCTGGTTATTATTGGTATTTTGGCATTTAATTCAACATAGGCTAACTCTTATAGCTTCTGTCTGTGGAAGAAAAGTCTTCCTTTAGAAAACTCTCCACATATACATATATATAATATTATTTGATACATCCCAAAAGTTTTTTTTTGATGTGATCCAACATTTTTCAACTTAGCACATGCGGGAAAAAGTAAGCGTCAAGACCTGTGCGGAGAATATTAGTTAAAGATGGACAAGATCGTACCTGCGTCCTGTTATTATACTGCTCCAGGAGGGCAGGTATGACGGCTGCTGACACTATCAGACTCGCTCTGTACGAGGCTCCGGCGGCGGCCTGCAGGAGTTTGGCGCTGGGCCACACCAGCTTGAGGTCTGGCTCGCAGAGATGGTGCTGACAGTCTGAGAGGACGAGACACACACCAGGTGTGATGGGTAGAACAAGCCTGGGCGGCACTGATATATATATATGACTGCATGTGAAGATGACAGGGTTATGAGTCTGATCAGTCTCCTTTGTCTTGATAATTAACTAGGCGGCCCGGAATAATCATGAAAAGATGTTATTTTGCATGATCAGCTGTTTTGGCCCTTTCTGCATCATTCTTGCATTAAAGGGAAAGTTCATCCAAAAATAAAAATTTGCTGTTTATTTACTCACCCTCAGGCCACACAACATGTAGATGGCTTTTTTTCTTTAGTACTTCAGTAAAAGTAAAGAAGAAACCATGGTCCTTTGTTATTCATAAAATGCAAGTCAGCAGCTACCATCAGTTTTAGGAGTCAAAAAAAGCGGCAAGCAAAACAAAATGAACACCCGTGGCTCCTGATGATATATTGAGGTGTTATGAAGCCAAACGATCGGCCTGTGTGAGAAACTGAATATTATTTACAACATTATTACCTGTAATCCAGAACCTCAGGCAAACGGTTTGGAGTGATGTCCAGTTTACGAACGAATCATTCATTTTAACCGTTTTTTTTTAGTGAACTAGTGAACCAAATCGGACTGAAGCGTCTGAAACTGTTTGCAGCTCGAGCAGCACAGGTCTATAAGTTACTCAATCAAAACTCACTTTCAGACGCCTGACAGTCACTCCGACTGGAAATGAGCCAAATTAGCGGCGTATCTGATTCTATGATGAATGAATCATTCAGCGCTCCAGTTCATCCAACAGTCACTGAACTGAGGAAACAGTTCGACTCGGACCGAAGAGCCGCTGAGATGTGCATCCGTGAACCTAACACTTGAATGAAGCTGCCAAACGAACGTTTTTATGGTTTCTTATTGTTTATGTAAAAAGGTGAGCTGATGAAGGCAAGTTTATTCACTTTATATGCTTTAGATATGTAAAACATCTGTGCTTTAATAATATAACTGCATATATGTTGTGGCATAAATTATTTGAACCCGTTTATTGAAACGAACTGCCCGAATGAATCAGTTTCTCGGAAAAGAATCGGACTTTCCCGTTTGTCTGAGGCTCTACAGGTAATAATGTTGTAAATAATGTTCAGTTTCTTGCACAGACTGATCGTTTCACTTCATAAAACCTCAATATATCACCAGGAGCCATGGGTATTAATTTTGTCTTGCTTGTGTTGCTTGTTCTGATTCTCAAAGCGACGGTAGCATTGACTTGCATTTCATGAATCGCCAAGGACCACAGTTACAGCTAAAAATATTCTTTACTGTTCTACTGAAGAAGAAAAAAGTCAGCTACATCTTGGATCTTAACAGCAAATTTTCATTTTTGGTTAAACTATCCGTTTAAATCCATCTAACTACTTAGAGAACATTTTTACTCGCTTGAATCCACCATTTGCAGGTACCTTTGAGGACGAGGCTTAGAAACACCTGCAGCACATCCTCCGAATCTGAACTGAGCACAGAACGAGAAAGACAGGACACCAGTGCACTGACAGCTGACAGACCAGCTGACTCCACTCTCTCACTGGCCGTCTGGAACACCTGCATAGGAAATAAACTCAGATCAAATAGACCATATAGCAAAGTTATTTACATTTTTTATCAGTCCCTCCAGTTTTTCAAGATTCAACGACCACAGAACTCAAAGCTCTTCCAAACTTTATGGCAGTGAATGGGGGTGGAGATTTTGAAGCCCAAAAAAACTACGTCCATCCATCGTAAAAAGTGCTCCAAACGGCTCCGTGGGTTAATAAAGTCCTTCTGAAGTGAAGCGATGCTTCCTTATTTAAAACTTTATAAACCGTAATCTCTAGCTTTCACTAACTGGTACGCGTTCACGAGAGAGTGCCGTTCCAGCGGATGCTCTGGTAAGAATATGCTAGTCTGGCTTTTTTTTTTTATTACTTGTAGCAATTATCGATTTGCTGGCACTGATACTACCAGATGAGAACAAAACTTGCATTGTTTCATAATTGATGAACTTTGCAAAATCGACACTGAACTGAATCAACATTGAACTAAACCGAGCTGAAAAATTACACTATTGTCTTCTGTAGAGCTGCTTTACAGCTGAATTGAATTAATTACATAATTGATTAACTTTATAACACTGACACTGTAATTGAACTGAAACTGAATCAACATTGATCTAAACTGAGCTGAATAATGTCACTATTGTCTTTAATTGAGCGGCTTTACAGCTGCATTTTGTCCAAACCGGCCCTTGACCTAAAATAACTCTTCTGGTTTGCACTCTAGCCGTTTGAAACTGAAAGTCTTGGCATAAAGCGGTGGGAAAAGTGCAGTACAGAGCAAACTAATATGAGAAAAGCACCTGTGAGTTCCTGTATCCATTGTTTTATGCCGATCTCTCTTACCTCCCTCCGTATTGAGCTCCAAAGGCCTGGAAGGAATTCTGCCAGCTCTTTATGGCTATATGTCAGACCGCAGGCGGCCTACAACACACAAGAATGTTTAGAGCACACTAACACGCTTTTTTATTTATTTATTTCAGAAGATATTTTCAGCCAGAGCAACAGTAAAGCATGGCAAAAAGCAAAGTCACGGGTTCGATTTCCAGGCTATGCATGAACAAATAAAATGTGTAGCTTGAGTGCAATGGCAATGTAAGCCACTTTGGTAAAAATGTGTCTGCCAAATGCATAAATGTAAGATCTATAACAGTGATTCTCAAAAGGTGGGTCACAGGTCTGCAGTCTCATCAGGGAGGAAGAAATAATGCTAATTGCAAACTAAAATAATATAATCATGCACAGTGTTGTGATAGTTTAACATTGATTATTTCAAATTAAAAAAGGCGAAAAATGGAAGGAGAAAAAAAAGAAACTTTTCTTCTTGACATAAAACCTGTGTTTTTATTAATATTTATTTCAATTTTACTTATTTTAGTACTAAATGAAAATGAGAAATGTTGCAACTAGCTGAAATAAAATAAGTTTAAGGATTTTTTTATATTTTATTGTAAAAGTGTATTTTATTTCAAGCAATGAAAACAACTTTATGGTTTTAGTTTTTGTTTTAGTTACCTATAATAACACTGGTTGGCACTAATTCGAGCTAGTCAAATGAGGCAGATGGAAATACGGAAAGGTTGGGTGACATGACCTCATTCTTGAAAATGATTTTTAATTTCAATTTCAATGTTTGACTATGTTTTTTACTTTTGTTGCTATTTTTTGGTACTGTGTTGTGTCATCATTTCATCATCAGTGTAAAACCTGAAGCAGAACCAGTTGAGAAGCACTGATCTAGTAAGTGTAGAGTCTGCGTTGCAGCTGTACCAGTGTCTGCAGGGAGTCCACTTTGGCACTCTGAATATCTGAGTCCAGCTTCTCAATGATCAATGGTAAAAGAAACTGTCAACGGAAAGGATACAAAACACAATAAACAAACACACACACACACACACACACACACATACAAAAGGTCCATTCACGGAACTACTTGCATCATTTCCAGTCTATTGATACACAGTATAATGCCAAACAAAGACTTATTGAGTTTGTGTCTTTAAGAGACTGAATTAGGTTTAGGTCATCCAGAGCATCCTACCTTAGCAAACTGAGACGTCCCAGTAAGAACAGCCCGTAGAGAAAGAACAAGCTCTTCCTGTGTGATCCTATGAGGATCACTGGGTGGCTGAGCACAGACAGAGAAACACAAATACAAGCCCAAACCTTTACATGTCTACATGAGTATGTAGTATAAATGAATACTTTTATTCAGCATGTGTGAACCAAAAGTGACAGTAAAGACATTTATAATGAAACGATTTCTTTCAGATAATTGTTTTTGGAATGTTCTATTAATCAAAGAATCACGGTTTCCACTAAAATATTAAGACATAAAATATTAACATCTTTTTTTCAGTGATAATAAAACTAAATGTTTCAAATCAACATTAGAATGATTTCTGAAGATCATGTGACACTGAAGACTGGAGTAATGATGCTGAAAATACAGCTTTGCACCACAAGAATAAATTACATTTTAAAATATATTCACATAGAAAACATTATATTATTACTGTTTTTACTGTATATTTGATATAAAAAAAATGCAGCCTTGGTGAGCAAAAGAGACATTTTTTTTTTTTTTTTTAAATCTTACTGATCCGAAACTTTTGAACAGTAGTGTAAATTTGAAGAAATTTCACCAAGAAATCTACTGAATTTTAGGGTTAAGCATGAAATGCAAACATGTTAGACAGCAGTACTTACAGGGCTAAAGTCTATAGGAAAATAACAGGACATCACTTCAAACAGTTCCTCTACAAATTTACCTGAAAAAATGGAGACAACAGAATTACTGACCAAACAACATTTGTGTGTGTATATATATATATATATATATATATTCTTTTTTTTTTCTCCATTAAACTAATTTTTTTACTTTACATTAAATGCGCTTGGGTTCAACTCCAGGTATACACTCACCGAGACCATAACCCCTGTGAATGATGTTCCTGGCCACCTGGAACGCCAGCAGGAGGTTGCGTGGATCTCGTTCTCCATCTACTGACTGCACAAATCCAAATATGAAGTCTGCACCCAAACCTTTGAGCTCTGTGGAACAAGAAATAGTTTACACTGGTGCTGTTCCATGAATGTAAAGGCAGTAACATAAAGAAGAGAAAGAAAGATTGCCGGCGTTCCTCACCCTCCTCTTTGGACTCCATTAGACTGATAAGGATGTTGTAAACACATGATCGTTCTGCCACCATCAAGGACTGTTGCAGAGAAGTGAGAAAAAATAAACGTTATGTCTTCAAGCTGGATTGGAGTTTACACACTTGTCATTTAGGGCACTCAGGATGTCCTGGAGTCAGAAGTCACTGCACCGGCATTCATGTAATGAACATATCAAATTGCAACGATTGAAATATCTAACTATAATGTAACATTACTTAGTTAGCTAATGGTTTGTTAGTAAACTTGTGATAATCGGTTACAATTAAAATGATAAATCAGCCATGTTTTGTATGCCATTTCTTACCAAAACATATTTGAATTTAAAACTTTTCTGGACTTTTTTCTTATTATATTTTATGTAACATTTCTAACAATTAGAAAAAATACTTGGCTAAAAATACTGCACACTGCTGTTCAAAAGTTTGGTTGGTGAGATTTTTTTTTATGTTTTTGAAAGGAGTTTATTCTGCTCACCAAGGCTGCATTTATTTGACTAAAAACAGTACAATTATTAAATATTATTACAATTTAAAATAACTGCTTTCTATTTAAATATATTGTAAAATGTAATTTATTTTGAGCATCGTTACTCCAGTCTTCAGTGTCACATGATCTTCAGAAATCATGACAATATGCTGATTTGCTGCTCAAGAAACATTTCTGATTATCATCAACATTGAAAACAGTTGTGCTGCCCAATATTTTTGTGGAAAACATGAATAATTTTTTTCAGGATTCTTTGATATTAGAAAATTCAAAAATTTTTAAATAAAATAACATTTGTAACTTTGTCTCTACTGTCACTTCTGACCAATGTAAAGCATCCTTGCTAAACAAATGTATTCACCTGAACATGAAGATCCTGGAAGATGGATCTCAAAATGGACACAGCTGAACCAGGAGGCAGAACAGAGCATTCCGTCTGAAAGAAACCAAAGACAACAATAAAAACAAGTGATATCAAGGTGACCATGCCTATAGCAGATCATGCTCATTTAAACACAAAAGTGCTCAGACGTACCAAAGCCTTGAGCCCCTGAAGAACATGTGGTATGATCACATAATGATCCTTCAGTCTGTTTTCATAGAAAGCTAGCAGGACCTCCACTGCAAACAAAACAAACAAATGTGGATGAGATGCATCACAACGGTCTTTGCAAACCAAACACGGAACATCATTCAGAGATCCATCTATGATAGACTGTCAATGCCGCACTGATGGCATTAATTCAAATTAAACCCATTCTAAAACCACCCTTACGCTCTTTCTCAGATAGGCTGCTGTAGCATTCCTGCAGGACCTGAGACAGGAGCTGAACTCCTCGGCCACGCGTCTGAGGCTGAGAGCTGGTCAGACTCAACCTGCATGAAGAGAAACAATGAATAACATTCACAATGGATTTTTCAGACTGACAGCTGTCTAAAACATACACGCAGCCCTTAAGTTACCACTAATATAACCGTTACTGCTACTATAGTGAAGAAAGTGACACCACAAACTCAGCTCTCTTCATGAAGAATCTAGAAAACTTTACCCCAATGCTTCAACCAGCTGGAGAATCGTGAATTGTCCGGTCTTGACACCTTAAAAGAGACATAAACTCATGTTTAACCCTGTAAAGCCTGACATATGAAATAATAGTCAGAAAAAAGCTCATTTTAATGGAATGGTTTAGACAAACTATAACAGAAAATCAAAAAAAAAAAGACTTTGCATGTTTGCTTGTTTGGCATTATATCTGATATGTCTCATATAGCATGATATTTTGAGAATATGGAGGAGAAAAAAACACCTGTTTTATTGAGAGACCTAAACAGAGCAAAATTATGCAATTTGCTGCAAACGCTGATATTACAAAAAAAGTAAGATGAAATTCTGATGCTTGTAATGCAAATCATTGAGATCTTTATTACGGTTTTGCAGACTAAAGCCCTCTTCACACGGGATTAGTATTACCTGGTGACCTCCAGTCATTTGTAATGAAGTGTGTGTTTAACTACTTTACCTTATAAGTAGCTTTAGTTTGAGAAGCCCAAGTTTCAAAGGGAGCTTGAACCAGCAAACCTTCTGATAACTAGGGTTGAGTATCATTTTTTTTTTCGATACCGGTGCCAAAAATTCCCCAAAAAATGATGAATTGGCCATTAGCACTATAAACACATGATGTCTGTTTCATTCATACTGGACGCCAGAGGGCGCCCTCGCACAGAAAAACCACATATCCAGTCACAGAAGTAGCGGCTCTCATGACCCTCCAGGAAATCCCTTATATGGACAAAGGCATCGCTATTACAGCTTTAACTGAGTAAACAGAACATATAAACATTTCGAATGATAAAACAAAAGCCCTATTCGCACGGGATTAGTATTACCTGGTGGCCTCCAGTCATTTGTAATAATTGCGGAGGTTGTCTTAATCCCGTGCGAATCGGCCATGTCTGTAATTTGTAAAGTAAAAATTCCCCCGCAAAAGACCTCCCATATTTCGCCGAACACCGAGGTCCTGTGCTAATATTAGTCTCGTGCGAATCGGCATCTCTGTGATATGGCCTGCATTTGGCGGGTCGTACATCATTTTTCGAGGTTTTTGTTTGCTGTGCGACAGGCTTCGCTTATCCCGTGCGAATGCACCACACGAAATTCAGAGGTGGGGGGGTAATTTCAAAATCACACAAGGTCCCCAGATAATACTAATCCCGTGCGAATAGGGCTTTAGTAAGATGATATCTTTAAATGCTTAGTTTGATGCTCAAAACATAAAATGCAATGCAATACAATGATGATTGAGAGATGAACACATAAAAGTTCCTCAAAAGCCTGATGATCATATCTGATACTCTTCATGTTTCTAAATAAATGATGCATGGATAATCAAGTAAACCGAAGTTGCTTCAGTCCAGTAATTGTTCATCTTGAAATATTTCTAACAAAATAAAAGTAAGAATGAAAGACTTCGCGGCAAAAAAAGACACGTGAAGCACAACCTGAGGACATATGTACAATTATACTAGTCTAGTATTAACTATCAATCAGAAGGCGTTAGGTTTTGATTACGCTGATCGTTTAGAAGCCTTAGAAATGTAGGCTTGGGGCTCCGCTAGCAGCCTAGCAAGACAAACAAGCCTTTAATAAAGAAAACGACGCCGTGGCAACTCCTGGTTTGGGAGTATTATGAAGCTAAAATACCTAACAAAGGTTTTATCTTTCTGTTCAGCCCCAGTCTGCAGCCACAGCGCGTGCGAGACTCAGGATGTGGTTGTTAGCTTACAGCGCTCGCGCTGCTTTTTCTGAGAGCTTTAATTAAGAGTCGTCGCTGAAACTGACAAGAAACAGCAAAGACGAGAGAGACCTATGAACGCGCTACCTGTAACGGTTTCTGCGGCCTTGCTGTCTACCTGTCCAGACACGAATTCTTCCACTAAACCCAGCAGCACACTGTTATCCGCGGCCATCCTGAAGAAGAGCAGCCAGGCTTCAAACTCAGCTGCGCATGCGCACAACAGCTGCGGCTGCCGCGAAAGGACTTTTGTTTTTAGTTCACAGAAAGTACACAACATTATTTAACAGCTAAGATAATTTGAGATAAAGAACAAATAACATCAATAATAAAACAGGAATAAACATTACAAACAAACAACATTTTTTTTATTTTATGTACCGTAGTTTTCAGAATTATTTATTTAATTATTTATTTTGTGTAATCAAGTACATCTTAAGGTTGACTTGTGATTTTAAAACATAGCTAAAATAATAAAAATAATAATGATTTCGTTTTGTTTGTCAGAAAAAACGTTGGTTTTGTAAATAAGGTACATTTTGTAAGGTTCTATTTTTTTTTTAATGTCCATTTTGTCCATTAAAAATGTCATGTCCAATTTAAAATGACTCCAAAATGACAATAAAATGGCTATAAAATATTCAATATTACAACGAAAGGAAACGAAAGATTTGATTCGTCTGATACAGTTGCATACATCACTCAAACACACAGAGTGCAGTCAGAGAGTTCTTAAAGTGGTGGAGACTCCAAACTCTGTAAGGACTAGCAGATCTTAAAATATCAATCCATGAGTTCCAAAGACGTCACTTCCGCTTTGCTCGCCGCCATATTTGTGTCCGACATGGCAAACACAGCACATCTGTCTGATACTAATGTTGTATGGTCTCACATAAATTATCGATGTGAAGTGTTGTATTATTTTCTTTTGTTTTATTTTATTTTATTTTTACATTTAGCACAGCGTTACGTAAGACAGGAACCATTTTTCTGCTGCTCCGAACACTTCTTCTTCTTTTTTTTTACCCTATTTCAACTGATCAGTTTTTTCTAGACTGTTTTAATAATAGTTTTAATGCTTTGTTTAGATTTTAGTGTTTTTTTAAAAATCTCTTTTGTTGTTGTTTTATCAGTGGAGTCTTCCCTTTAATAGATTTTCAATAAATAAACTGTATATTACAGTATATAATATAATATTTCTATGTTGTCTTGCTGCACATGCGCACTCGTGCATCACCACCTCCACAGTCCACTGCATTTCCTGAGCGGAGTTTGAAGGCTCCCTCTAGAGGAGGGGCTCTGGTGGAGTCACATGGTCAGAGTGCGCATGCGCAATGTGCGACGTGAACTAGTAGGAAA